GCCTGGGCCGAAGGAGGATGGAGATTAGGTCTGAGGCTTGACAGGCTGGGTGATTAGAAAAAGTAGGAGGATCAGCCTGGACACCCTGGTGGAAAGTTGTTTCCCTATCTCTCGAGAGCCAAGCATGCATTGCCGTCTCAATGCTCCGCAGGTTCTGAGTTCCCCGAGCTCCGAGCCTCACTTCTTATGGTAGGCCAAGAATGTCGCGAGGTCGAAGGACCGCTGCACGTCCTCGCCGATCGCGAGCTGCAAGTCGCCTTTCTTGTTGAGACCTTTGCCGTCCACTATGCCACTGAAGGCGTCCATTGTCGTCGCGATCTTCAGGTTGTCCTCCGCCACGCCCTTGATGTAGAATGAGCCCTTGCCTGTGAGAAGCACGCTGGTACGGCTGCCCTCGATCGTGTACGACTTACGGCCTACCTCGAGGCCACCTGTAGGCTTGGCGTTCTCAGGGAGGCGCTGTAAGATGTCGAGGACGACCTTGCTGTGCTTGGGATCCTCGACAGCACGGCCCTCGCCCGCATCATCACTAGGCGCATCGTCCTCTCTCTTGGCTTTCTTCGGGGTCTCGGCAAGCGCCTCATCATCATCTGCCAGCGGCATGGCAGCCGCAGGCCTTTTGGCCGCCGCTGGCTTCTTCATGGTACTCGTCTTCTTGGGCTTGGGCTGAAGTGTTGGCGTGGGCCTCCGCAAATGTGCCCCATCGTCGGTGATCAGATTCGCAGACACTTTCATCTCCCACTCCTCATTGTACGCATCCCAGACCGCAACTGCTAGCCTATTGTCTCCACGACGGTACCTATCCGCGTAGACCTCCAGGCCTGAGCTCATCGATATGACGGCCTTGAACTCCGAGACGTCCAGGCTCTTGCTGACGATGTAGGCTTCGTCGTCCGAGCTCAGATCTGATTCGCCTCCTCGAAAAGCTGGGAATGGGTGGAGCCTATGGCCGACGACTGGGCCTGGGCTCTGCGTGATGAGCTCGTACACCTTTCGCAATTCTTCAGGGTGTGCACGAACAGCAGCAGGCGAGCTGATGTCGGTGAACTTCTTGTACTGCTGCTGCTTGTCTCTGGTGTGGGCGCACGCCACACGAAACATCAAACTCAAGTCAACGAGCCCTGGTTCGATACTGGCATACCCTTGCGAGACACAGTACGCAGCGAATGCCTGCCTGCAACTGTCTCGCATGGCGCACTTAGCGAGAGCCCCTCTCATGCCCCTCTGGCGGAAGTATCCTCCTCTAGGGTCCAGCGTCATGAGCTTCGACAAGATCGGAGCGAAACCTTTCAAGGCGTCTGTATCCACTCCAGTCTTCGTGTCCTTTGACTCGTAGTTCCAGCCGTTCAGCGTGAACAAATACGTGTCGAAGTCGGCCACCGGGGCCTCGTAGAGCTCAGGTTTGGACGGGTCCGATGGCCTCCAGCATCTGGTCTTTCTGCGCGGCTGAGCCTGAAGCAGCGCGGGCTCCTCCGCCATCGCCGAGCCGCGCGAGCTGAAGCTTCTACTTGTGAAGCAGCGCGAGCCTGAAGCAGCGCGAGCTCCTTGCCTGAAGTTGCAAATTGAGCCCAAATGGCTAGAATAACAGAGGAGGAGGTGGGTGGGAGCATGGCGAACTTCTTGGTATTCGTTTCTCAGTTTATCGCTTGTTGTAGCTAGTTACCGTCGTTTTTTTTTTTTTTTCTTTCTTTCTCCCCCCGGCCCCCCCGTATAACATTTGAAGTGCGTTTCACTTGGATGTGAATGGGGGCGTAGCCTAATACCACCCACACTACGCACGTCGCTCGAGACGTCCTCACTGGTCGATCTAGTCCGGGCTGTTGTCGCACGTCGCTCGAGACGTCCTCACTGCAGTGATCTATTCCAGGCTGTGTCGCACGTCGCTCGAGACGTCCTCACTGGTCGATCTAGTCTGGGCTGTTGTCGCACGTCGCTCGAGACGTCCTCACTGCAGTGATCTATTCCAGGCTGTGTCGCACGTCGCTCGAGACGTCCTCGTCCTCGCTGGTCCTCACTGGTCCTCACTGGTTTGATTGTTATTGCTGTTTTGGGTGCTTGTTTTTGTTAGCAATGCTAGTCATCCCTGGCCAGCCTGCTGAGCGCATCAAGTTCATCAGAGCAAATTATGTGAAGCAACGATTGCCTGCTGATATCGTCAATCGGCTGCTCATCCTCAGCGGGCTGGTGCCGAGGCTCATCCTCAGCAGGCTGGGGCCGAGGCTCATCCTCTGCAAGCTCGGGCTGAGGCTCAATCTCCATGCCGTCTGCGGGCTCGGGCAGCTCGTCGATCGCGTCGACGTCGGTCACCGAGGCCGACTCCTCATCCGCGTCTGAGGCGACGTAGCCTCCATCCATCCATGGGTACGGTCGCATGGGAATGCAGCCGTGGTAAAGAGGCATCAGTACGTCATAATGAGGAGAACTTTCTATGCCCGTCCACCATCGGGGCTTAGTTTGCATGTCTAAAATCATTGAGCGACGGCCATGGATCATGCACGCACTCATACTCGCCGCCATGACTTCGGCAGGTAATACCCGCAAGTAGTTGAACTCAGGCATGCTGTTTGACACCTTCGAACCACATCGCAAGCATTCGTAGTCCACTCCTCCCATCCATGCCATGCGTCGGTCGTACTCTATCTCCACGAAGGTGGGCTCACCGACGCCGTCGCCTGTGGCAAGCAACCTAGGGCAACACAGCGGCACAATCCATTCAGCAGGAGATGCAGGCGGCGGCGGAGGAGGTACCATTTCTTGATCAGCCACGTGGTCAACGAAATCTTGAAACGTTTTCCCACCGATCCTCAACTTAGCATCTAGAGCCAAGTCGCCATGACAAGGTTCTCTGCAAAGGGCGCAGGGTAATCCAGGACATGGTAAAGGTGGCCGATGTAGTTCTGGCCACGTTGAAAGAACCCAATATCGGAAACAGTTCATGTGCACTTTGTGGCCGCACGCCCATCCAACTTCATCGGACTGTGGTCCGTTGACGGTGTCGCTGCGCAGACAACAAATATCGGGGCTGGCCATGCGGCCCGCGCCAAGGAAAACCATTGGCCAGAATCCAAATTGCTGTGGAAGTGTCAGAGCATTTCCGCATCGACCCCTGGTTTTGTTCATGTGTCGTTTGTTTTGTTTGTATGTGTTTACCGTTACGTTTTGGGGACAATTGCACACATGTTGGAGGATGGAGGGGGTGAGGTGGGGGGCCACCCCATGAGATGAGCGAGAAAGGCCACGGAGCCAGGAGAAGGAGGAGGACGGGGGGTGAGGATAACGACGACATATCATAGCACGACCTATCATAGCATGATGTCTCTTGTATATGATGTATCTTGCATGCACAATTGTCCGACATTCGCTTTCGCGAGCCACCAGCTGATCAGATGATTATGCCCCATGCAAATAGCCGCCCACCCCATCTTGGGGGCACAAGGTGCGTGGCCCCCATGCAAATAGCCGCCCACCCCATCTTGGGGGCACAAGGTGCGTGGCATCTAACCGAGCTCACCGACCAGACCTCATGCAACTTAAAACATTTTTTTGATGTGTTTAAATGTCTGATCTAGCCTCTGTGAAACACACACTTTCTTCATACACATATACATATAGTTATACGTGTACGTATGTATGTATCAAAATAGTGGATCCACTATTTTGCAAAACTTTTTTTTCTTCAAAATAGTAGTTAAGGCCGATTTCCTAAACAAATAGTAGATCAACTAAACAAAAACGTGGATCGGAAGGCCAGGTCGGACGCTCCCTGGGAGTCGAAGGGAATCTGGGATCGGCGACGGGGGGAAGTTTCCAGTTTGGAGAAGGTTTCGGAAGTCTTCCAGTGGGATAAGAAGAAACTTGATCGCAGGCACCGCATTGCCTCCTCGGTTGGAATCGCCTTGGGAAGGTTCGGCAAGAGGCCTCCCAGAGGCCTGGTGCCGATGGGGAACCCGCGGGATCGAGATCAGGAGGGGGTCAGCAGTGCATCCGGACGAGCTCTGGAGGGGCGCTTCATATCGCGACATCCGCCAGGCCGCTGGCGGCAAGAAAGAGGGTCTCATCGTGTTCGTCTGGAGTTCGAGGAGGAGGAGAGGAGACTCAAGAGCAGGGTTTAGAATATCTTAGCGGGCCACTCGGGGAGGAGCACCGGTAGGCCTGGCCCTAGAGGAGCTTGGCAGGTCTGGGGCTCCAGATGACGCTGGCTCAGAGGGGCCCCGATCTAACTTTATCACAACTTCCACTGAAAACGACGGAGCTAATGTGGCCGAGGAGATCGGGGGGTTCTACGCGGTGGGGGGGGGGAACCGTTTTAGCTGGGGGCGCTAGATCCTTCTGAGTACCCGCGAGATCCCGCGGTTCCCCGTCGGGTGAGGATTGCCGCGGTTCAGGTCCTCGAGGGGCCAGGATGGAATAACACTAATACTTGGTAGCGTGGAAAGACTAAGTGCGGGGGGAAGCAGGGGGGCATCATCGCGCTGGATCTCTTCTCACCCGCTCGAACCACCGAACGTCTTCGGGGGCGAGGTTACAAAGTTTCGACTCCGATCGATGTTAAATCCGGGTGGGGCCTGGATTCCGAGGGCGGGGTCCGAGAGTTGTGGGGCCGTCTCCGGAGAGACAAGCCTCGTTGTGTCATCGTGTCGCCAGTTTGACGGGCGTTCAGCGTGCCGACCGAGATTAACTGGAGCAGGATGCATCCGGAGGCTCGACAGGAGCAGAAGTAGCAGGCTTTTCGTTTCAGTCAGCTCTGTTGCGAGATTGCCGTGCATCAGAGGTCTCTCGGTTTCGATTTTATTCTCGAGCATCTCCTCTCCGCAAGTTCGTGGGCCCTCGAATGCGTGAGAATTGTTCGAGATGTGCCTAGGGTTGCCACGTGAGACCTGGAGCAGTGCCGTTTTGGCCGAGCGGTGTCCCCGGGGGCCCCGCCGAAGAAACCGACTTTGCTGCTGGCCAGCCGCGAAGAATTTCTTCGGGAATGTAACGAGAGGTGTTTGGGAAATCACGGAAATTTGGTTTTGGAGGGGAGCGCCAGGACGCGGAAGTCGGAGCGCTACTCTTCCAAGCCGGCGTCGGCGTTGGCGAGCGGGGTGGGGGCTGCCGCCTGGGCGGCTCCGAGTGAGCCCTCGCCAGGGCTATCGTGCCCAGTCTTGCAGGTAGGCGACGAGGGCGAGGGCCCCGAGCCTGACCGAGCGGGAGCTCCCGATTCGGACGAGAAGGAAGGGGCCGCGAGAACTCAGGGGGAGGACGGTTCGCCAGACAAGCTCGAGCTTGAGGAGGGCCTGAAGAAGGAAAATTCGAAAATCCACGAACCTGGGGCGCCCATCCAGGGGTGACTTTCTCTGGGCCCTCTGGGTCGCAGGGGCCCGTCCGGGAGTTTTGGGTCGGGTGAAAAGCAAGTTTCGGTGCCCGCGCTGCGAGTCCCGCGCTCGCCCGTGCTGGACGAGAAAAGCCAGCCTTCCTCGCGCTTACCGATTCAGTCGCTTGTTGGCGGTAGATTTATTCTATTTGAATTGCCAGGGTCGAGCATTCCCGTGCTGAACGTGGTTGGCCACGGCACTAGCTACCAACAGTGCTGCATGTTGAGTGACGACACCTCGGCGTCCGTCTGGGAAGCTCTTTCTCGTTTTTGGGTCCGACCGTTCGGAATGCCAGGCGTGAATCTGTGTACCGGTGGAGCCGACTTCCAGGCGCCATTGCCGCTTGCGGGGTTGCGAGCACGCCACGAATTACCAGCCTGTCATGGCCGCCAATTCCCCCTCATTACAACGGGAAGTGCGAGCGGCGCGGGGGAATAGTTGAGGATGCGATGTCCCGAGTTGCCCTGTCGGCGGTGCCGACGAGTAAGGTCAAAGTCGACTTGCTCCTGTGTAAGGTCATCTCGGGAAAGAACAGGACCTTTCACCTCGGGGGCTATGGCCCTGGCCATATTGTTTTCGTGGAAACTCGAAGGACGCCGTGGACGGCATCGGGGTATATGACCTCAGACACAGCGCGATCGATTCAGACGCTGCTACCGCTGCCTTTGCCAGAGCCCGCCAACTTAGGCTGGGGGCGGGTCGTGCTCTGGCCTCTCACGATACGGCAGAAGCTGCCAGCGCCCGCTGCCGTGTAGATAGGACTTGTCAGCCTGGGGAAATGGGTGCGTGCTTGGAGAAAGGTCACTGCCGCGAATAGGAGCCACGCCTTACAGAGGGATAGGTGGACCAGACATGGGGCTGTGGTGTATCAGTCTAGGGGGTCAGTTTGGGTGGCGATGAGACAGCGGCAGCCAGAATGTTCTGCGGAACCTCTCCGTCCTGCCATTCGTCCTGAGGCGCTTGGCGCCGAGCTCCTAGATAAGCTGCAGCCCAGGATGAGCCGCCTCCACCCAAGTTCCCGCTAATGCGATCCAGGAGATCTCGGTCCGTGGGACTTCCGTGGGGGCTTCCAGGGGGCCTGCCTCGGGATCCGCTTCCTGGGGGCGATAGACGACTCCGACTCTGAGATGGTAGGTGCAGCTAGCGACCGACGTGCTCTGAGAAGGCCCGGGGAGGAGCTGCCAGCGTCGGAGGGTCGGCCGGCGGAAAGACATTGGGGCGCGAGTCTGGCGCCCTCTGGCCAGTCCTCTACAGCTTCGATCCCCTCCAGTCTCGGGCGACGAAATCTATACATATCCACTGCTCCCTGACCATGCCCATCTTGAACCCAGGAGCTGTGTATGCGCCCTCCTGGCCAAGCCAGGAGGGCGTGGCGTATACACCGCTGCGGGGTTGAGGATGGGCCTGGCCAGGGAGCAGTGGATATGTATAGATTTCGTCGCCCTACAGTCCCAATCAGCTCGCGCCAGCCAGCTCCGGAGAGGAGAGCCAGTAGTTTCACGCATGGTCGACGAGCGCGAGGGCGCTAGGGCGACGCCTCAGCCTCGCTCGTGGATCGTCGCATCCCGAGCAGGAGTGGGAGCCGAGGCGACCTCTTCTTTCTCGGCGACGCCGGCGGCCTCAGACCGCGGAAGGAGTCAATCTCCCCCTCCGCCCGAGGTCCGAGAGTCAGGGAACCTAAATTCTGAACGGATTGGGTTTACCCAGGGGGTCGGAACGGAATCTGGCAAAACAGTCTGGGGATGGTTCGAGCAAGGGGGGCCCGGGGAGGGCGGGGTCTCCGAGCAATGGGGGAATTTCGGTTTAGAGTCCGGGGGGACGTCATCAGCTTCATGCCAGCTCGGACTCAGAGTCGATTCGTTTTTCCTTGATTTTGAAAGCTGTTATTCCAGTGGCGCCAACGTTGCCGCCGAGCCGGTCCCTCGGCGAGGGGCTGAGGTCCGGCTGCGAGATCTCTCGCCCGAGCAGCGGAAGGCGTTTGACGAGTCAGACGCGAGCGAGTGGAGCTCGATGACGGCAACCGGGGACGTTCGATTTCTTTCGCCTGAAGAGGCGCGGATGGTTCGAAGACGCCTTCACGACGTAATGTAATGGTCGCGGATGGTCCGGAGGCTTAACCGACCGAGGGAGTAGGAGGCGCTCCGAAGGCAAAGAGCAGGTGGTCTGTGCACGGCCACCAAGACCCCGATAGTGAAACCCTCCAGGGCTATGCCCCAACCCCGCAGTCGGAGAGTATAGTGTTGGTTCTTCAGATAATCTCGTCTATGAGGTGGGCCTTCGGGATCGGGGATGCGGAAAATACTTCTTGTCAGAGTAACAAGCTGGACCGACCCGAGGGGGCGATTTTCGTGGAACCCTGTTCGGGCCTCGGGATCCCCTGGGACCACTGATCGAGTTAGTGGCTGTGGCTCAGGACTCTGACCGATTTCTCGTCCGAGCTGGGTCTCAAGCGTTCGCTGCTGGAGCCGTGCTTCTGGTCGAAGAGGAGCTCCTGCAGCAGTCTTTGATTTTAATCGAGGTCGACTATCTGATCGTCTCGGGTGACGCCAAGGTGCCCCCGGGGCTGAAGGCGAAACTGCTCGAGCGTCTCAAGTTCGGGGAATGGGGGGGGGCGATTGCGCGGGGGGACACGTTGAGCAGATTGGAAACGGAAGGGTTCTGATCGACGAAGAGGCATACGTCCGGGGACAATTGTGCCCGATTGCCTTGGGCAAGGCCCGGAGGGCCCACCCCTCATCCCTTTGGTCCCCTCGGAGGTGCCCTCCTACCGCACTACTGTGGCGCAGATTCAATGGCTGGGGGGCGAGAGCAGGCCACGTGTTGCTGGCAGCGCGTGTTTGCGCGCTTCAGCTTTGCCGTATCCGTTTGTTGAGGGCGCCGTAATGGCGAGCGAAGTTGTGAAGTTACTCCGAGCTTCCGCTTCGCAATGCATTGCCTTGTGGCCCCTCGAACCCGTGTTTGTCTCGTTTGTCGTTGCTTCGGATGCTGGAGGTCCTGGGTCGGCCAGGCAAGGTGGGGCGCAGAGCGGCTGGCTAGTTTCGCTGCCGACAGTTCGATTCGGGAGAGTCGGCGCGCTCGAGTGAGTCTGTTTGCGTGGAGATCACACTGAATCGTCGATTCCCCAGAAAATATCGTTTATGAAGGGGCCTCGAATGCCTCCCTGAAGTGACACTCTAGGGGTGCCTCTCGGAGGCTGCTGGAGGGACACTCTAAGGTTTCATGGCCCCGGGACGCGGGGACAGGAGAGGGCGGAGGAAGTGGGGTTCAGGACTGCGAAGGAGCCGTCGTGGAGCCGGAGACGGGGCGCTGGCGAGGGGCCGCCAGGGCCCTGCCCAAATGCGAGGGGCGAGGAAAGGAAGCGGAAGAGAGGAGGAGGAGGAGGAGCAGGCTCTCGCGGATCCTGTTTTCTCTGCCTGTGGAGCTGACGGAGTTTAGACTGCGAGATGTTGGGGCGATGTCTTCTGTGAACCTCAAGAGGGGTCTGCGTGGTGTGTTCTCTGCTCCCTTTTTAGCCGTCCTCCGCAGCCCTTGGCTTCGAGGCGCCTTCGTGCATCTTCGTGTTATCGCCCTTTGCCCAGAAAATTGTTTCGTTGCTCTCTATTGTTCGGCGCGCCCAGCCCCGTGTGTCTGCGACTTTGAGACGGCAGGACGGTCCTTCAGGAGGCCCATTCGAAACTGTCTTGGGCCCGTCCAGCGCTGCGTAGGGGCGCCCCCGATGGTGTCGATGGCAATGACAACGCGGTCACGCGAGGGAGCGCGCGCGTTACTTACCTTCCCACGCTGTTGGGAGCCCTTATCGGGCCCTTGGATCTAGATTGCACCCAGCTGTTGGCGAGCTGTGCGCTGAGGCAATTCGAGCTTAGGGTCCACAGCAAGTCGGTTAGGATGGAGATGCTCAGGATGACTTGGTCCACAACGTCATAGCGCACAGTGCAATGCATCGTGGCATGACGCATCTCAGTTCAGCGCAACGCAACATATCACAGCCTTTGGCACGGTACGTCACGATCGATATTTTCAGCATTGCAAGAGCCCGCCCCCAATGAGGTATCTTGAGCACGTTGTCATGCTTCATGTTCCTATGTTCCTTTCTGGGTTCATGGGTCGACCATGTCGTGTGAATCGGGTCTTCTTGGGAGTGCCCGAGTGAGGAACGTGGTTTGGCCATCTTGCGCCTTCCCTGCATTCTACTGGGCTGTTTCTGATCATCTTGGGCCATACCCGGGCCACTTGGGTGGCCAGTGCGGGGCCTGGCACTTTCTGATCCCCGCTCTCGGTGCCCTTGTGGGCGCTGACTTTCTCCCCCTCTTGGGGGTGTTCCGCCCGCTCTGGGGGCCCAGTGCGGGCCGACCAGACACAACACGATTACCCTCCTTCATCATAATTTCTGTTTGGAGCGATCTAACACGTCTATGGCCCGTAGGGCCGGCGAATTTGAATTCATCCCTTGGCGACGAGCTCCTTTCGCGAGTTACTGCCAGCACGTTGCCCTCGGGCATCCTAATGACGTCTTCCGGGCGGTTTGCAGCGGACTCCGCTGCCGTGGCGAATTCCGGAGGTCATCGCGAGCGCGCAGTATATACAAACAGGCCTGGGCCCCAGCTGCCAAGTGAACGTGGACCCAAGATTGGCGAGGTGGTCATTTGACGTTGCTCGACCTGTGTCAGTATGGCCCTTCCGACGCCCTGTGGCGCCAAACCACGAGGGAAGCCAAGAGTATCATCCCCCCTTTCCGCTTTAGACCGATTCGAACTGTTTGGATGTTTCCAGAGAAGTCTTGCGGGTCGCCCCGTTGGCTGCACCACCTTGTGTCGCCTGGGCAGCAGCATCGGGGCGCCCTGCGGACCGTCGTAGCTCTGCCTGCAACTCGTGGCAGGGATGCACACTTGGCCCGCGAGGCCGAAGGGGCGCTGAGAGACCTGGAGGAGGGGTGCCAGCCCCCGACGTGAGCAAGGCACTGAGACCTGGGCCTGGGCCAGGGGCAGTCTCCATTAACACCGTGCGCCCCAGGGAGCCCGCAGAGCCACCCATGACAGCCCAGACAATTCAGAGTGCGCTCCGGGTAGTTGCGGAGGCTCCCACAGGGCCGCCTCCAGTTCCAAAGACTCCTGGACGCCCCACGAGAGCCCGAGTGCTATCCGTATCCAGTCTTGCTCATGCCTTTAGCCCAGCCGCCATTCTCACCCTGAGGCACTTGGACATGCTTGGAGGGCGGTCCAGCGATTTGGTGGTGATGAGCACTCTGGAGGCGGAGGCTTTCGAAGACTGTACGCCGGCAACGCCGCGCTCGGGCGACTTCTCCGACTCGCCGATGGACTCGACCGAGGACTCGTGGCGCAGGATGAGCAGAGATTCTGCGAGGCGCGCCTCGATCGGGAGCCAGGGCGGCATGTTTTCGGAGTTCATCCGCGCCGAGCCCTCCTACGGCAAGACCACGTTCCGCGGGCAGCCGGTGCGGATGGGCCTGTACCGTGCCCTCGAGAGCAACACCGTGAAGCTGCTCGTCGGCCTCGCCACAACAGCCAGCTTCTGGGGTGTCATCGTGGACACCGACGCGCGCGCGGCGGGCGACCCGGTGCCGAATTCGCTTGCGACCCTCGAGTACATCCTCTTCTCGGTCTTCTTCCTGGAGCTCGCCGTCCGCTTCTACGTCGAGAGGCTGGGTGCGCTGAACAATCTGTACACCATCGCCGACATCGTCGTGGTCTGCACGAGCGTCGCCGAGTACATTCTCATCTTCTGCGGAGTGGAGATGGGGTTGTCGAAGGTGAGAGCGCTGAGGCTGGTGAGGATGATGAAGCTCGTCCGGGTTGTCTACAGGGTGCCGTTCTTCGTCGAGCTCCGGAAGCTGATGTATATGATCAGCTGCTGCATGAAGACGTTGTTCAAGGAGCTAACGCTATTTTGCCGACCCCCAGAAGAGGAGATATGCGGATTCCGATGTTGTAATCGTTGTTTGCCGCGTCCCGTGGTGCTGTCTGTGTGTAGTTGTTTCTGGCTTGTTCCCTTCTTCCTCCGCGTCTGTCGTGGGGGCTTCTTGGGGGCCTTATGCAGGCCTCGGGGCCAGCATTCGGTGAACTTTTGCACAACTTCTGGGTTTTGTTGTGGGCCCTCTAAGGGTTTCTCGAGGGTTTTGTTGTGGCATCTTCGGGGCATGTCGGGCGTTTTGGGGGCCATCTTGCGAGGGATGGCTCCCGGGGTCCCTGCGTCCCGCTTCAGCCTCCACGGCCCCTCTTGGGGCCCTCTTCAGGGCCTTCTTGGCCGTCTCTGGGACCTCTTGGGCCATGTCTGGACCCTCCTAGGGGCCTTTTGGGCCGTCTTGGGTTGATCTGGAGGGCTCTTCGGCCTTCTCGGGCTTCAGAACCCTTTTGAAATGGCGAGAATGGGAAAATCATGTAAGACAATTCGGGAACTCAGTGTTTTTGCCTGGTTTTGCCTCTTGTTGCCGTCTTGTGGGTCCTCGTGGACCCTCTTTGGGCGTCTTCCAGGCCCTTCCGTCGCGCAGTAGCCCTTCTTGAGGCCTCTCGCAGGGCGTCTTGGGCTGACACGCTTTTGCAGTCCCAGCACGCTGGGGATCGGCGGGTTCTGGTCGTTCCTGGTGCTCGGCGTCGTCATGACCGTGTGGTCCATTGTGGCCGTGGAGCTCATCCACCCGAGGGTCGTGGAGCTGTCGTTGGAGGGCAGATGGTCTGACTGTGAGAGATGTGCTCGAGCGTTCTCGTCCGTGTTCCACTCCAACGTCACCTTCTTTCAGACCATCGTGGCTGGCGACAGCTGGGGTCTCATGGCCATTCCAGTCATCGAGGCTCATCCCTGGACCGCCGCTATCTTCACTGGGGCGCTGCTGACCCTCGTGTTCGGCGTCCTCAACGTGATCGTTGCTGTGGTCGTCGACGCCTTCGCAGAGGCGCGCGCCAAGGACGTCTTCACACGAGCTCGGGAGCTCCAGTGGGAGGAGGAGGAGGAGAAGAAGAAGCTGGCCGCCATGTTCACGAAGATGGACAAGGACGGCAACGGCTCCCTGGACATCGAGGAACTGAAGGATGGAGCCAAGAAGGTTGAGCAGTTCAGTGACTGGCTTCGTGTACTGGATATTGACGCCCGGGACCTAGAGGATATGTTCTCCATGCTCGACAGAGACGGCTCCGGCGACATCGACAAGGGTGAGTTCGTGGAGTGGATGTACAGGATGAAAAACACAGACTCCAAGACTGTCGCCCAATTCGTCAAGCAGAAGCTGTGCAGCATGGAGGAGAAGGTGCAGGCGCAAGATGACGACCTCGATTGGCGATTATCCGAGGTCTCGCAGCTGCTGGGACAGAGCGTGCTCCAGAGCGAGTCGCTGTACAGGGGGATAGAGGAGAGCATCGCCGAGGTCAGGAAGCAGATGACGGAGTCCATGGGCGCGGCGCTCTCCCTGTTGGAACCACGGCGGCGCAGTGCCGAGCCTTCAGTGCCGTACTCTCGGGCCCGATCCTCCTTTCTCCTGCCTGGCAGCGGTGGTGAGCGGGCGCCCTTTTGCCACGACAGCCTGGCAGTACCCAGCCTCGAGGGCGACAGAGCACCCGGCAGCTCGGGCATGGTCCGGACGCCTCCGCAGCATCCGAAGGCGGAGCGCGGCCGCCCCCGCAGGCTCCAGACGGTGACGATAGAGAGCTCTGCCGAGCAGCATCCTCTATCGTCACCGTGTGCAGCAGCATCCTCCACCGACGGGGGCAGCACAATTGCCAGCAACTTCAGCTCGATGACAGTGCACGCGCCCTCCAGCAGTCCACGGGGACCGTCGCGCGGCCGCAGCGGTCGCCACCAGCCGAGAAAGCTGTAGACGTCGACGCCATGGCTCACATTTCTTCGAGTCCCCAGTGCGTCCTCTAAGGTCGTCCGTAACGACGGGCACTGCCGTGTCATCGGTAGCCCTGCTGCACCGCGCGATCTCTTTTCAGACCTCCCCTTCCTAGTCTTATCCGCGAAGGACTGTTCGCACTATGCGGGCCTCACTTCTGATCTAAAGAGCCTAGTTTGTCGTCTGGACTCTCCCGTCGACTGCTTCTTATGCGTGCCTGGTTGCTCCTGCGCTGCGCTGTCCGCTCCCCTCCCTCCTTCTTGATCGCGTTTGCTCACTGTGTTTTTCCCAACCCTCCCGTGTTGGGTTCTCGTTCTGAATGGAGCACCGCGGTCGCACACTCCCTCCCTCCTTCATTGCTTCCCGCCTCCCTCCTGCCTCCCACCTCGCTCCTTCATGCGTGCCAGCTTGCCTCCTACCTGGCCATCCCTTGGGGGGCTGCGATCTGCGAAACTGTCGCCACTTTCGAGGGCTGCTGGGGGGTCAGCGGAGTGACGTCCCACCCAGATTCAATTTAGACCTCGCCATCCCTGGGGCGGGGCTGCGATCTGCGAATCTGTCGCCACTTTCGAGGGCTGCTGGGGGATCCAGCCGAGTTGCGTCTTACCCAGAGTCGAATTAGACCTCGCCATCCCTGGGGTCGGCGACGACGTCCTATCCAGAGTCAAATTTGACGTCGCCACCCTTGGGGCTGCGATCTACGAAAATGTCGCCGCTTTCGAGGGCTGCTGGGGGTCCAGCGGAGTGACGTCTGTAAGTATACTCATATTTGACGTCGCCATCCCTGGGGGGCTGCGATCTGCGAGACCGTCGCCAGTTCTGAGCGCTGCCGGGGGTCACGCTGGATGCTGTCGCGGGCCGCCCGCAGACCTGTCGTCGCGCCTTCGAGCGTTCAATTCTGGCACTGAAGAGTGCAGGGCGGAAGCAGGGAAGCTTGCGGGCGAGCTAGGCCTCGCTCGCTTCCTGCACTAGCGGTAAGCAGGTTTACTATTTTTGTCAAGCGCCGCGGCGTCATGGTGCAATCAGCGCTACATCTTTAGCGCAGCCCTGGCAAGCGTAACACTCTTCGGTCTCCTCCCGTCACTTTCGTCGTCGCCCTGTGCCCCCTGCCACCTTCCCTCTGCTGCTGCCGCGCTGACGGTTCGCCCCCCCCCCCCCCGCGCGTCCTTCTCCTGCCCTTCGTTCCCGCCTCCTCAATCCTGAGCCATCTCTCCTCGTCCTTCTGTTGTTGTCCTGTGAATCGTGTCGCGTGAGCGCACCCCGAGTAGCTTGCACAACATGTCACGGCGCCTGCGCTGTCATTGTCCTGGCAAGTTTCAACCAACTCCTTTTGTCACTTTCTGCAAATGGGTTGGGTACGTCGCAGGGTAATTCTATTGTCGTCTTCAGGAGGCGACACCTTCGGTTGACATTCTGAGCGTTGCTACTTTCTGGGTGGCAAAGTAGTGAGTCACACTCCTCGTTGTCCTCGTTGTCCTCTTCCTCCTCGTTGTCCTCCTCTTCCTCGTTGTCCTCCTCTTTCCTCGTTGTCCGCCTCTTCGGTCTCTTCCTCGTTGTCCTCCTCTTTCTCTTCCTCCTCGTTGTCCTTCTCTTCCTCCTCGTTGTCATCCTCGTTGGCCTCGTTGTCCTCCTCCTTCGCATCCTCGTGTGGCCAGGTAGCGCGAATGTGGCCTGGAGCGACCAGAAGTGGCGAGCGACCAAGATGGGCTCGTTCCCCTCTCGGTCTGGGTCCGGGGCTGCGGCCCGCAGGCTCGAGAATTTTTCGTGACATGATTTTCTAGCCTTGCTCGGCAGATACGCCGGCTGGCACAAGCCAGCGAGGCGATGCAAGCCTGACCTGAGTTGTCGGGTTGGTCTGACGTTCTGGTCGTCGTCCATTCTTCTTTCCTTCCTGGCGCCACTGTTGGCAGGCCCCCATGGGCAAGCATGTGGCACATCGGCCACGATAGCTGGCGCCCGCTCTGGTGATTGCCCCTCGTTTCGGGCAAGCAAGGAGGGGGCGGCGGCACAGGTCCCTCACGCTCGTTGACCACAGATCACCTGCCCGTGGGCACACCGCGGCCCTCAGAGAGGGGGGTGCCCGCAGAATCCCCGACGACCTCCCCAAAGTTCAGGAGGAAGTCCAAACGGGGGGTGAACGACCAGCACACTCAGAGTTCGGAGCGACTAGCCACAGGGAGGAGCAGGAGGGTGAGGAGGAGGAATACAACACGTAATACTAATGAGAGGAATACGTGGACACTTGATACTACGACGCAGAATCATAATAATAGTGACATGATTATTTTTCATACTAATGAACATAATGCTATACTGAGCATAATAATGCGAAGGCTATCACGGACTACGAAGAGGAATACGACTACTAATAACAATAATACTGCCAATAAGCATAACAAGCAAAACACGACTACTACTAATAATAATACTGCTACGAACACTAGTGGGAATATTAATAACTTATGACGCAGAATAATACACACACGAATGCTAATACTTTGAGCTAAGCTATCAATCGTAATACGACTAGTAAAACGAAGTATAATCACAATTCTAATCAGAATACTTTTACTAAGAATGATAACAATACTGATCGACCCCGTTTCGACAAAGAGTTGCAGTTTCCAGGTCCGATCGTCAGAAGCAGCGGCGCCCGTACGACAACAAGTTCATCCCCCTGGACTTGACGGCACCGCCACCCTCGTTACGACGAACATGGTGTTGCATTACCTGCGCATGAGACGCCCACTACTCCTAATCTCGGTGAGCTTATCCATCTTGGTCTGCAACTCGCAGACCCCTGGGGGGGACTGGAGTGTAGCGGGGTATGCTGGGGTGTACTGGAGGGCACTGTGGGGTACTGGGGGGTACTGGGGGGCCCTGGGGGGTACTGGGGTGGTGGAGGAGGAGGAGGAGGAGGAGGTCCGTAGCCATTTTGGCTCAAGGCTAAACGTAACGAAGGGTGGGTCACCCGAGGTGTTGCGATTAGCTTTGGACCCATCCGTCGCTGTCCTCGAGCGAGGTAGGTGCCAGCGCGCCTTCCTCTTCATTCGCTCTCGCACCCTCACACTCTGCTGCCCTGTCTTGCCCCTGCGGGTGCCAACAACACTAGTTGGCGAGGGATGCCAGCGTCCAGCAATGTGCAGGTGCCGACGCCAGACCGCGCCGCTGGCGCCGCGGCTGATGGCATGTCAGCCCCGCGGCAGCAACAGTTCGCCATGGACGCCAACGACACCCCCACCCCTCCCAGCCATGGGCGACGAGGTGAGGCGTTTCGCACTCCGCCAGCTTCTCCTCGTCATGTGCGTAATGGTAAGCGTCGCAAGCATGTCGGCTCTGAGCTGCGCAAGGAGTTCCGCGATTTCAAGCAGACCATGGACGCAAGCATGCAGAGCGTACTGGCCAAGGTCGGAGCCGTCTCAGAGAGCGTCAATGCTGCCCTGGCCGGCCTCAAGATGTCCATCAACCAGTCGTGCGAGGGCTTGGCCAAGCAGTTCGAGCGCCGCATCAACGTCGTCGAGCTCGAGCAGAAGACCACCTCGGACAGACTGGCAAAGGTGGAGAAGGAGATGCGCAAGCTTCGCCAGGAGTTCGGCATCGCCAAGCAGGAACCACCGCCGACCAAGCAGTTCACGCCTGGCAGCTCATTCAATCGCGAGATCAACCAGGGAATCGTCATCGTCAGGTCCAAGGAGCTTGTCACGGCAACGGCTGTGGCAGATGGAGTTCGGTCGTGGCTGGAGGATAGAAACATCGAGGAGGACGATTGGCTCGTGGAAGGAGAGCCGACCAGCAAGAAGTATACAATTCGTTTCACAGGACCCGCGGGACTCGCCGCTCGTCGTGTTCAGTAGTGCCTCGGGAACCTTCGTACACGCCGTGCCGACGGGGGTCAAGGCACAATGTGGCGGCGCTCCCAGACGACATCGACCACTTCTGAGACTGTCGGGCCAGGTAAAAATGACTTCCTGCAAAACTGTGCGTCGCGTGCTGGAAGAGCAGTTCCCGCGGCGCCGCTTTTTCATTGATAAATGCAAGGGGGAGATTTCGACCAACTGGCGCCCGCTGGTTAGAGTCACGCCCGTTGAATCAGATGACGTGCCTACCGTGGAGTGGGCGGCGGCGAATCTCGTGCAAGAGGGAATGGATCAGTCCCAGCTTGCCCCGCTCGTGGAGAGAGCCCTGGCGGGCCCAGCTCCAACTGCGTGGAGCTCCTAGCAATCTCAGCGTGCTGTGGCACGGTACCTCCTCTCCTCACTCCCCCTCGACCTCGACCTTCCGCATCGTGACGTGGAATGCACGCGCTTTGTTTCACTTCGAGCCGCCTGTCCGAGCAAAAAAGATCAGATTTTTGCGTAGGTTGCTCGTGCGTCGCAGCATTGTGGCGCTGCAAGAAGTTCATGGCGATGAGCCTGAGCTTAAGGATCTCCTCCACCACCTCCACCTTCCTTTTGAGGCCTCCTTCTCCTTTCATCCCTCTCCGAATGCTGGAGGTGTGGTCACCCTCTATCCGCGTTTTCTAGCATCCGCTGAGAGACGCGCAAGGTTTGGGCACGAGCGTCCAGTTGTCACCCCTCTTCCCCTCATTGATGGGCGAGCACTCCTCACTAAGATTGGTTCGCTGAATGATGTGTCTTGGGCTTGGCACTACAACATTCACAATTTTGGCCTCTCGCAGGGGGAACGTCGACTGCTCTTAACCTCGATTGAAGAATCGCTGGCCCTAGCTAAGGAAGATCCGCTGCACCGCATGGTCATTATCTCTGGGGACTTCAACCTTCCTGCCTTCGCCCCGCTCCCGCTCAACCCCGTGAATGAGTCTGTTGAACTCGAACCTCGTCCTCTACCTCCTGAATGGCGCTCGGCTCTCCAGCACTCGGTGGAGTTCGAGCTGTCGACCCCTTCCCACTTTAATGCTTAAGAGAAATTTCGGTCGTTTATCGATCGGGTGTTCTCCTCGTTGCCTGGCTGGATTCTCTCGTAATGCGCCTCGGGTGGGGAGGCGGTAGACCAACCAGAACTCTTAGCTGCCGAGCAAGTGTCGGACCATGCGGCGGTGGTGGTGGTCCTTCGCCTGCGTGACGAGCCTCCTGCTGGTCAGCGCCCTGTGCCGAAGGAGATCTTTCGCGCGCCCGAATATGCCAAGTATTTGAAGATCTCGGCTGAGGCAGCAGACTACTCACACCTCTCTACTCCCCTCAAGCTCGAGTACTTTAAGATGTTGATGATTGAGAGCGCACGTCGCGCACGCAACGCGATCATCCTCCGTCGGCCTGATTCGCCTCTTGCCCGATATCTGATGATTCGCGGCGTGGCTCGTGCCGTCTTTCGCCAGCGCTGGCTACTCGCGCTCCGTCTTCACCGCTCTCATCCTCTATGTCGTGAACACCCCCACCTCGATTTTGACAACAAGAAGGTCCCCCTCATCTCCCCCTCCTTCTTCACCGCGCTCTCCGACGCCTTGCGCAATGAGGTGGCGCGGGCTACTCGCCAGAGTTTGCAGGCTAATGCTCGGCAGCTTACAGATCAGGCCAAGCTGCATCGGATCCAGCGTCGCCAGCGGCGCATGCAGCAGATGTCGAAGCTCTGGTGGCTTTTTGATCGGAGAACCCTGCTCGCTGGCGTTCGCACGGCCGATCGCACGATTGCTCAGACTCCTGCCAAGATCCTGGAGGCTCTGGCCTCACACTGGGGCCCTGTCTTTACGGAGAAACCTTGCGACTTTGAGGCGGGTGAAAACTTCCTGGATGCGTTCCCCACCCGGCTTAATTGCTCCGAGCTTCCCCCCCTCTTTTAACCAATTCTCGTCGTTCATTAAGAAGCTCCAACATAGCGCCCCAGGCCCTGACAGGCTTCCCTACGCTGCGTGGCAGCACGCGCCAGGAGGCATCGACATCTTGTGGGAGTGCATGCAGTGGCTGTTCTCTGGCCGCGCCCTTCTCCCTGATTATAACCAGGTGCTGGGAGTCTTTATACCCAAAGGAGAGGAGGAGGATTCGGCCCTCGGGGTGGTCAGGCACTCGTCCGACACGCGCCCGCTCGGCTTGAAAACTGTGGTAATATGATCATCACTGCCATGGCGATTCGATCCCTTACCCAGGCCCTCCCCCTCGGTTTGGCTGAGCCCCAGCGGGGCTTTGTTCCTACCCGTAACTTTGGAAATAACATCGTGGAGCTCGATGCCGTCCCCCGACGGACGAGCATGGAGCCTGGCGTTGAGCGCCGCTGTCCTGCTCTTGTGAGCTACGACTTCGGCCAGGCGTTCCCCTCGATGTCTCAGAAGTGGATGATCCAAGCTTTAAAACGTACCCAGGTCCCCCCCCCTTCTGGCCCTCGTTATGTTGCTTTACGTGCATGTTGCTTGTGTTGGGTGTGTTGGGGGCGACTTTGCCATGCCTTACTGCATCACTAGCGGGATCATCCAAGGCTGCCCTGCGAGCGGCACTTTGTTTGCTACAGGTGCAGACCCTTTTCTGGTCAAGTTCCAGGTTGCTATCGGGCGCCCACTTAGAGGCGTTGTTCGAGCTTGCGCTGGTGATATCGGTCTCGTCATTTTCAGGATCGCCGACCTCTGGTTCGTCTGGGTGATTTTTGAGGACGCCGAGAAAATCGCCCACCTTCGGTTGAAACACAAAAAGTTCACGGAGGCGCTGGAAGGGCTGTACATATTAAAGCTGCGTCGATTTGTGCCCGAGTGGTACGACTTCGAGATAACGAAGTCAGTACTGTACCTTGGGCTTTGGCTCGGCCCTGCCGTCTCGCCCACGACGTCGTGGGACAAGCCCTTCAGCAAGTTTGTATCTCGAGCTCGTGAGCTTGCGCGTCAAGGATCCGCCCTATCACTCACTGCGTTTTTGTATGATTCCCGAGTTGTATCT